TGGGGAGGGGGGGTTGCAGGACACAGTGCAGTGGTGGGGAGAGCCTTGTGAGCATGCGGCACAATAGTGTGAGTCACAGTGTAGCAGGGCAGTCATGCAGTGTAGCAGTGGGGAAGGATGCAGGCAAGTGGTGCATGGGGGATTGCAAGTACACAGTGCAACAGATGGGAAGGGGCATCTATGGGGTATGCAGTCCAGAGAGGCTGTGGCTTGCCCTGCTGAGACCTGCAGGGTGGCTGTCACTTATGAGAGCTATATCACCAGCATATCTGAGGATTTTATGCTCTCCATTCAGTTGAATTCCTCCCCTCATGTTGTTTATGCTCTGGGTTGCTTTTTCTAGTGCCAGATTGACTAGGATTGGAGACAGATCATTTCCCTGTCTCAGTCTGATTCTAACTGGGAAAGGATCTGATTTTCTTCCATTTTGTTTCTTGCTTCATGTATACAAACTTTAATGAGTTCAATCAGTTTGTTGGGAATTCTTAATCCAGCTAATAGGCCCCACAGACTTTATCTTTGTATGCTATCATAAGCTTTCTGGAAGTTGATGAATAGAATGTATAAACTTTGATTATATTCCCATTTTTTTTCTCAACAATTTGTCTTGGAGAGAAGATTTGGTCTGTCATCAATCTATTCTTGCAGAATTCAATCTATTCTTGTATTCTTCCAGAAAGTTTTCTGTGTAAGGTAGTAAGCACTGTAGTAAAATGTTACAGAATAAAAGTTGGTCTTAATAGGGGTAATATCTCTGTAAATTTGAGACTTCAGTTTGCTGCCTTTTTTGAAGATGGGACATATTAAGACTACTCTCCAATAATAAGGTACAAATTGATTACTTCCAAATAAGCAGAATTAATTTATGGATGTGTTTATAAAACTCTTGTCCTCCATCTTTTATCATTTTAGCTAAGATACCATAAGTTCCCCTGGTGCCTTACTGCTCTTAAGTTTTGCTTTGGCTGTTTTCACTTTGACAAAAGATGGTTCTTCTATGTTTGGTTCAGCTAATGAATACTTTTCTTGCTGTGCTGGCACTGTAGGTATTGGACAGTTTTACTGTTCTACAACATATTCTTTCCATCTCTTTCTGATTGCTGTCTTGTATGCAAGGAGGTTTCCATTTCTGTTGCTCTCATAAGTGAAAAGATGAATGATACAGAAACTTTGGATAACAGGGTATGGCCCATAGAGCATGGAAGATGGACAGCTCTGGCTTAGAGTGCTATCAGTGCCACATATTAATGGCCACTAATTCTTCCTTCTTTCAAGGCTTCTAAAACTGATTAGTAGAAGCTCTGAAAATGAAATAACGTAGCCAGTTTTAGGGCTGCTAAATCACAGTATTCTCAGTGTTGTAGTTTTAACAAGCACTATTTCAGCACTTCAGTGCTGTGCTATTAGTGGGCCCGATCTTTTTTTAAGGCTTTTAATAGTACCCTTTTCAACAGCTGCTTCTCCTTTACTGTTTCTAGTGCTGTTAGTTACATGATAATAGGTAACATACAGTTAACTGGAAGATAATTAAATTATAAAGTAGACAGTGAGGCTGAAATATGTTATTCGTTTAATTGGTCCATGCATGCATCCAATATGCAGAAAACTAGTTTATTACAACGTAAGTGATAGGTAACAAATTGAGACTGGCACTATGTTATGCAGTAAAGTGAATTATGCATTTATCCAGTATGCACATAAGTGAAGTATATTGCAAATATATTAACACATTAACTATTTTACCAGGTTGGATGTGCTGAGGCACCTTAATCTTGAATTAAACATATAAAAGTGCATTAGGACTCAGTTAAATGTGAATTATGTTTAGTATTTGAAAAAGTCTTCCAAACAAATTATTTTGTGCCATTAAATGAATAAAATAGAAATTACACAAGAAGAAAGTTAAATATTTAACTAGTTGGTGGTATTATATGATTCTAGGAGGAAGGAAATATGCACCCCACAGTGAAGTAGATACATCTATCTTAATCAGAAGGTTTAATTGGCTTAAAAGAACTATTTTAGCCTACAATATAACACCTTTGCATTTGTTCCAGTTTCCCTTGTATGAGTCTAATCCATGGTACAATTTAATGCTCTAGATTCTTATTACAGAAAGCAACAAAAGAACTGAAAAGGCTGTTTTTGTTTTATTTTTAATGTTTGTGTCTCAGCCCATTACAACGGACTATAACAAGATAATATCAAAAAGGGAAGGAGCAAATTGAAAGAATGGTGCGATAAATTTTAATAGACTTGATCTAGAAGACTGGCAGAACTGAAGGGAGTTGAAAGTCTAGTAGAGAAGGAATGGGGGAAACTAGGTCTTTGTGAAAAGGAAGTCCACTGGACAAACTAGAAAGAATCCAGTGGACAGCAACAACAATTATTAGAGACCTGTGAAACATGATTTATGATGACAGACTGAAAGAACTGGTATTATTTAGTTTGGAGAAAAGAAGACCGAACTTGGATTTGATAACAGCCTTCAAATACCTGAAAGGCTTATACCAGAAGGGTAGAGATAGTCTATTCTCTGTGGCTGCAGAGGATAGGACAAGGAACACTGTTCTTAAATTGCAGGTTGCATGTCAGGAAGAAAAAGGCTGGGAAATCTCCATGCTTGGACATTTTTAAGTTCAGGTTAGACAAACACTTGACTAAGGCACTTGAATCAGGAATGAACCTGCTTCAAGCAGGTGCCTGAAGTCCATTCAAAAATATATTTAATAGATTCATAGATTGTAAAGAGCTGGAAGGGACCTTGCAAAATCATTGGATCCAGCCCCCCTGTACTAGGCAGGAAAGACTGTATTGTTTTTTGTAGTAAAAAATAGTGAAAAGTAAGAGCTGACATTTTCCACGACATTTCCAAGTCTTAGAAAGGCTGAGTACTATTGTGCTAGAGTGTGGGCATTAAAGAAATATAGATTTTGTTCCCCAACAACCTGTTCAAGTTCTCCCCAAACCTCAAGACACCCCTAAGTCTTCTTTAAACACGACTTAAAGGAAGAGAAGAGAAGAGTGTCATGCTGCTACTGCTGTGCGTGAGGACCGGAGATAAAGCTTCGGGACTTTTAGCAGGCGGTGGGGTCGTGCAAATCTGGCTTGCATGTTGTTGTGATTAAACAATTGACAAGGAGCAGGTGGGGTGATGAGAAAAATGGAAGAGTTTTAATTACTTACGGCTGCAGCCGCGGGTGAGAGAAGACAGAAGCAAACGAGGAGAATACAACATGCTAACATGCCACGGTAAGTACAAACGGCGTCCCGCGGTTGCTAGGCGCAGACGGCTAGATGATCAGGCCAGCGTCCCTTGTAACAACGGAGTGGGTAATGAACGACCTCGCTCCGGTGCGGCTAGGCGCTCCCTTTTATTACTTTGGTGACGCACGCGATGATGAGCGGTAAGTTGCCCTATCACCTGCTGATTTTTTTTTTTTTTTCCAAAAAGCGCACGCTTTTACTTTCCCCTCCCTGGTCCCATGGCATGGAGGGCGGGGACTCCCACCATCTTGTTGCCTCGTGCACCAGCGTGATTACAACAGGGAGACAAAGAGAAGAGAAGCTCTTTCTCCGTTGTTTAAAAAAAAGTCTCTTCCATGCGCTAAAACTCAGACAAATACATTTAGGGAATAGGGAACGAAGTGCCAAAAGGATAATTTGTCTTCAGTCCAGAAGTCAAAATTCAATACTTTCCAGTAACAACTGCTACAGTGAACTAATGAGTTGTCATTAAAAAAACTGAGGCAATTCAAAATAGTGGGGGCAGCACTGAATAAACTGGATGTAATGCACTAAACAGCAAGAAACAGAGGGAACTGTGCTATTCATTTTCAACTTAAATTTAAAATATTTTAATGCTATTGGTGTTGCACAGAAATCTACAATACTGTCCAAACTAAGGACTTCACTGCAGTGTTTAAAACAGAGCTTGTCTTGGAATACATGTAGTGTTTTATGTAGGCCTACTTTTTCAAAAAAATAACGTTATTAAAAAAAACCCTAAAAATGCTGGTTAGTATTTACTAAAAGCACTTATCTGTTGCCCCTGGGGCAAGTCAGCTCCTTCCCAGGAGATGCCAGGCATCCAGCTGGCCACAGGAGTCTGCTGAAGGCAGAAGCGGTGAGTAGCCACACCCTACTTTTGGTGGAACCTCCCCACCTGCCCCACAGCCAGCGGGTGGTGAGCTGCTGTGGGGGGGGCCTGGTCCTTCCCTCCACAGCCATGGTGTCCCCCAGGGGCTGGGCTGGGCTGGGCTGGGCTGGGCAGGCTGCCAGCAAGCAGCTGCCCAGTGTGCTGCCTGAGCTCCTAAGGGCCCAATCCAACTTCCAGGAGCCAGCCAGCACACTGCCTTTCCCACAAGCCTACCTGGGTTTCCAGTGCTTCGCACACCAAGACAGTGTCAACTTACACAATGGAGCTACAAAAATCCTAACATGTTGTACAGAAATATGGGATTGACTTATACAGTGTCAACCTATACACTGTAAAATACGGTAATACATGCACACATATACGCAAACACCTACACACTCATGGATACATACATGCATACTCATACACACGGGCATACGCACACACACACATACCTGCACACACATGCATACACATATGCACACTCATACACAGACATGCACCTGCACATTCTTGCTCTCACACACACGTATATGAGCTCTATGTGAGATACAGTCACAGTCGCGGATGCAGCGGCCCCCTCCCCCCCGCGGGAGGACACAGCAGGGCGCTCTCCCGACATGACAGGAACCGACTCAGGGTCCGACCAGGGCTGCAGCTCCGCTGGGCGGGCACGGGCCGGACGGGGGCGGGAGGACGAGGCCGAGGGGGAGCGGAGGGTCCCAGTCACTTACTGAGCTCGGCCGCAGCTCCAGCGGCCCCGACGCGCCCTTGGTCGCTATGGAGACGGCGTCGGCCTCAGCCGCTCGGCACTTCCGGCCCGTGCTCCCGCCACCGCCACCCGGGCGGAAACAGGCGCCGCGCCCGTGGGGGCCGAGCCACGGGGCTTTCCCGGCCGCGCCCTTCCCGCCCGGCCGGCTTCTCCCCGGCACGGTCCTGCGCGGGCCGCGTGGGGCGGAGGACGGTGAGTGCGAGCCGCGAGCCGGGGCCGGGCGTCCCCTTCCCTCCCGTCCCCAGGAGCCTGGGAGGCCCGGAGCGGCCGGGCCGGCGGAGAGAGGCCGAGGGAGGGGAGGAGGGGGATTTCATAGCTGCCTGAAGCGGGGTTGGACGGAGGATGGAGCTGGACTGTCCCATCAACGGGCTCCAGTTGCACAAGGGAGGTTTAGGTCGGGTGTTGGGAAGAACTTTCTCACTAGGAGGGTGGTGACATACTGGGCCGGGCTATCCAGGGAGGTGGTGGAAGCGCCACCCTTGGGGGTTTTTAAGACCCGACTAGACAAAGCTTTGGCTGGGATGATCTAGTTGGGGCTGGTCCTGCTGTGAGCAGGGGGCTGGACTAGATGGACTTCCTGAGGTCCCTCCCAGCCCTCCTTTTTATGGCTCTCTGCACCCACGCGGCCCGTGGGGGATTGGTAGCAATGCTCAAGCAGTGTCCCCGGGCTGGAGGCAGCTCTGCTGCACGTGCTTTTCCAGCCTCTCTTGCAGGGAAGCCTCCAGCAAAAGAGCCTCTGCAGCTCTTCTGGGCTGCATGTGCCATCCAACTCCCTGTCCCTGCAAAATAGGACAGTGGCCTTTTCTCTACCTGGATCCTCTATCTAAGCTGGATGCCACACTACAGGCAGCATGGGGAGTTCAGTTCAGGCTGTGCTTGGATGTGGCCTGTGGTGGCTCTCATCATTCCTGTGAAATAATTCTGGGCTGTTGAAGCTCCGCTTGCATGTAAGGGTCTGATGTGTGGTGGTCTCCCGATCCCCAGGTGACTCTCACAGATTTTCATAGGTTTCATAGACATTAGGGCTGGAAGGGACCTCAGAAGATCATCAAGTCCAGCCCCCTGCCCCAGGGGCAGGAAGTCATCTGGGGTCAAAGGATCCCAGCAAGATAAACATCCAAATGTCTCTTAAAGGAGTGCAGAGTAGGTGCTTGCACCACCTCTGGTGGCAGTCTGTTCCAGGCCTTGGGGGCTCAGACAGTAAACTTCTTCCTTATGTCCAGCCTGAAATGGTCTTGGAGGAGTTTGACCGTTTGACCTTGTCATCCCTTGGGGTGCTCTGGTGAACCAGCATTGCCCCAGGTCATGATGTACACCCCTTATATACTTAAAGGCAGCCACCAGGCCCCCCCTGAGCCTGCGCTTTTTCAGGCTGAAGAGTCCCATGGCTCTCAACCTCTCTTCATAGGTCCTGTTCTCCTGCCCCCTAATCATGCGTGTGGCTCTTCTTTGGACTCTCTCAATCTTCTCCACATCCTTTTTAAATTGTGGAGCCCAGAACTGGATGCAGTACTCCAGCTGCAGCCTCACCAAAGCTGAGTACAGCAGGAGGATGACATGCTGCGATTTGCTTAAGAAGCATCTATGGATGCAGGCCAGAGTTTTGTTCGCTTTACCAGCTGCGACATTGCATTGGTGGCTCATACTCATCTTGCGGTCAGTCATGACTCCAAGTCCCTTTTGGCCATGATGCTGCCAAGCATAGTACTGCCGAGCCTATAAGCGTGCTATGGGGTTTTTTTTCCCTAAGGCGGAGTACCTTGCATTTTTCGGTGTTGAACACTGTCAGGTTTTCATCCACCCATTTTCTGAGCCTGTCTAGGTCTGCCTCTATCACCCTCCTATCCTCAGGTGTCGATGCTCTACCCCATATTTTGGTGTCTTTAGCGAACTTGGCCAGTCCACTTCTGATACCAATGTCTACATTATTAATAAAGATGTTAAAGAGTATAGGCCCAAGGCAGGACATATTTGCGCCAGGTACACAAACTAAATGAGAGATGTCCAGCATCAGCTTCAGTCAGCAGCCAACGTGCTGCATCTTCTCACATCTTGTGAAGTAAGCCTGCTGCTGACAAAAGCACATACTGCACATCTCTCATTTAGTTAGGCTTATAACAAGGGGGTCAAATTCATCCAGCTCTGTGGGCTGGAGGAGGGTCACTGGACTGGTCTGTGGGCTGAACTGTGACTGACCCCCTTGGCAGCACCCACAGCACTGGGTCCAGCCCACATGCTGCACACAGCTCACACTGGCCCCAGGCCTCATTCCGCACATGGGGACAGCACAGGGAATGCACTGTCAGCATCATGCAGGCTAGCCACAACACTGCAAGCAGCACAGGGGGTCAGTCCAGGGTGCTCCATGCCACCCATGTCCTGGACCCATTGTACCGAGTGCAGCACTGGGTCCAGCCCACACGCTATGCGTGCAACACATGCCCTGTGTTGGCCCCATGTGCACAGTGATTCCCAGGGCCAGCGTGTGCTGCATATGGCACGTGGGGCTGGACTGACCCTGAGTGCTGCATGCCATATAGGGCCTGGCACAGCATCCAGCCTGCCCCTGGAGCCAGCGGGTAGGGCTGGGTTCGTGGGGCATTACATGCAGGGTGTGCTGTGTGCTGGGTCTGCAGCTCTGGGTCCAGCCTGCATGCAGCAAGTATGGCTGGGGCTAGCATGTAGGGTCATTCTAGTGATCCCTGGCCAGAGCATATGACTCCCTGGGTTGCATATGGCATGGGGGCCATATCTTTGATGTCCCTAATCTATAAAGTGCAAATTATCCTACTTGCTGCCTGACTTCAGACTAAGATGACTAACTCTTTGCTTATGTGTGGCTAGGGTTGGGTCCTAAGTATAGTTAAGTTTCTCAGTAAAACTTCTTGTGTGTTAATATTAGAGTTGGGTTTAAATTGAGGGTGTTTCCTTGAAGAATATCAACTTGTATTCTACAAAAATAAAAATAGTTTCAGCAGCTACATCTGGTCCAGAATCCCTTTGCTGTTGTTTCTTCTTTCATATTTTCCTAAATTTTGAAAATATTTACCCAGAAGGAGAGAGATCCGTACAAAATAAAAAGTTAATAATGTTTTTGTTCCTGCAATGTGATGTGCAGAGGTAAACCTGCCTTCATGTAACTCACTGCAAGATTAATAAATGGAGTGGAAAATGGAAAAAATATTTAAAATATTTTAGCCTCTAAATTAGTGGTCTGTGACCTACATCATCCTGTGTGCTTGATCTGGCCTGCAAAAAGTTTGGTCTGGCCTCCAGTGGCTCGTGAGGTTGATAGCACATGGTGGCAGGAGCTGAAGATAAGGTGCCATCAGGGTCCTTGTGTATACTGTTCCTTTTGGAACATTTCTGTGCTGCATTCCCCCTCTCTCTTGCTCTCACTTGCTACTAATACCTCATCCCTCCCTGTTTTGTACCCTTGGTGCTGAATTTGCTTCTCAGCATGGCTGTTGGCTATGGAAATTGGTAGCACGAGATAGCAATGATAAACAGAGACTCAAGTGGAGGGACTTGAGATAGAGATCAGGAAGTGCCAGGAATGTTGGAGATTGGTGGCCCATGACAGCAGTCAGGTTGCAAGCTGCTGCTCACCATTTGTAAAGGTTGTTGACCCCTGCGTAAAAGTCTTAATTATTACATAGGAGGTGTCACGATAAATGTAAAACTTACTGGTTAAAAATAATTCAGACAATTGAACTCAAGTCATTTAAATTTTGCAAAATAATTCTAAGGAGTTAATTTATATGAATCACATTAGTAGGAAATTGTAGGTTTGAGAAAATGACAGTGATTAAGTTTTGACTTGCAGGCTTTTTTATGCACCTCGGTTCAAAGAAGAAATCCCAGTACATGATAAATAAGTTTAAATGTTATGGCTACTTCAAGATTAAAAGAAGCTGAAAATAAAACCTTAAGTTACTATTTTACAAGGAAATTATTTGTTTAAAAGCGACTAAAAGAAGATTTTGTTTTGGCAAAAGACCATTTGAAGTGTTAAGTCACAATTATATGTTTTTGACTTGAGTACGTCAACCATTTGAATGTGTAGTTTCCACTCAGTTTTCCTACACAGTATACTATAGGAATTGAGTTAAAGCAGCAGAGAAAAGTTATCATCCCTAATTTCAGAAACATAAATTTAATCTATAAAATTAGAGGTCAAGAGAACAGGCCTAATAAGGAGAGGCTGGGAGATGTGGGACTCTTCAGCTTGGAAAAGCGAAGGCTTGGGGTGACTTGGTGGCAGCCTATAAGTAGATAAGGCGTGTGCATCAGGAACTAGGAGAATGTCTCTTCACCAGGGCACCCCAAGGGGAAGACAAGGTCTAATGGTCACAAACTGCTGGAAGTCCGTTTTAGGCTGGACATCAGGAAAAACTTGTTTACCATCCAAGTCTCCGGAGTCTGGGATAGACTCCCTCCAGAAGTGGGGCAAGCACCTACTCTGGAGACTGTTAAGAAACACTTGGATGCTTATCTTGCTGGCGTGATCTGACCCCAGCTGACTTTCTGCCCCTTGGGCAGGGGGCTGGACCCTACAATCTTGCGAGGTCCCTTCTAGCCCTAATGTCTATGAAATCTATTATGTATTTTTCTGCTGCATGTAGGGGAGCAAAATAAACGAAATAGTGCAGGTAAGAAGTAGCATGTGTAAGAAGGATGGATTAAAAAAGAGGACTTTGGCATAAGGGGATTTATACACACGCTTTTCTGTCCTGTGATGTGCTGCCAGAGATCTGTCGCTTTGGAGCAGACTCAATTAATCGAGTTTTCTCTGTGAGCTGAGGTGAACTGAGCTGTGCTGTGTGCAATTGTATAAATGCAAAATGTGCGTCAGCACACAGAAAATGGCGGTGGTGTGCTTTTGAAAAAAAGCACCTCCGATTTGTTTTAGTTCAAAAATGTGCTGCTGCCATTTTCTTAGTGCTGAAGTGCATTTTGCCATTTATACAGCTGCAAGCATTGCAGTGTCAGGCACTTTTCAAAGCGCCTCGTACTGTGGTGCTTACATGTGTAAAAATGCTCTCTTTTAAGTATTCTGGTGCCATCTGTGTATTTTATATAAAAGTAGTCCAAGAAGTAGGGATGAACATCTCGGAAGTCTTTATCACCTTCTAAGTTAGCTTGCCTGTACTGTCAAGAAATAAACTTATGTGTATTAGTGAAGACAACTCAGTAGTACACCTAAGCAGCTCAGAGGGGACAGGAGCAATCAGAGCCTAGTTCTCTACCGCACAACTGAGCTAGTTTAGGAGGTAATACTCCAGAACTCCCTTCTTTCAGCTACGTAGCCTTACCAGTGCTTTACAGAGTCATGTTACTTGTTGCTTTCTTCTTTTCTCTGAATCTTGAATTCTTTTTCACAAAGTGGCATAAGTGCCACAGGAGTGCCTCTTTTCCACCCTTCTCAAGTAGCCTTTAGTCAGGGGTTTGGGTATTCTTCCAGGAGACTGGGACTCTGGAGTGGTGTCACAGAACTCATGAACAAATTACTGAAAGATAAATGAGGGTAGTGATTTACACTCCTCAGTTATTTCCCACAGTAAATGAAAGTTTACCCTGTGGTTATTTATTCTGCTTTCACTGAAAGGTAAGCTATCGCTCTTCATTCCCGTTAATGAAGGAGAGGGAACTGCAATGGGTTAGCTTTCATTTGTTATGTGGTAACAGTGAATACCAGGGCAGTTAGCATGGAGTAGTTTAGTGGGGCCCGACCTCTTAGCAGACATGCCACACATTAGCACCACACTTTCCCCGGGTGCTACTCCAGTTCCTGTCCCTTAACAGATCTGATGCTCTGCTTTCTGCCCCTTGCCTTGTGCTTCCTGACCAATCTGCTGATCTGTTTTCTTGCTTCTTTCCCTATCTTCCAGTATATTGCTTGTCCTCTCTCTTGTATGCTGCGTGCCACACACAGATGCTGTCCATCCCACTTGTGGCACACATGCCCTAGGTTAACTACCCCTGGAGTAGCTAGTGCACTGTAAATCTCTGCCCTCATTTGTCTCAGTCTAATTTTGTCATGTGTCCTTGTACCAAGTCTCATTCTTGGGCATGTACACACAACACAATGACATACCAAGTAGAGATAATTGAATATACTCATTTGGGTACTGGGAGGAGCATAGCTGCCTTAGCATAGCATGGAGATAGTTTACCTGGGTGGAATGCCTTGACAACATGGCTATACTGCTTCTGGTACCCAAGCTAGTTTATTCAGAGCTAGCTGTAGTATCTCTCTCTGAACTGTGAATTTAGCTTTTGTCCCCATCACACACACACTGGCTTGCTCAGATTCTTTTCTGCTTTTCTCTCGTGAGGCTGGCTGTTGGAAAGGGAGAAGAAGTTGAATCACAGAGAGAGGAAGAAATATGGAACTTAGAAGGCTTAGTGCCCTTAGAAAATAAAATACAGTCCATCAGCAAAGGTGCTGCTTCCAGTTGAAATAGCTCCTTCCATATAATGCAAAACCCATTGTGGGATAACATGACTAACTACATGTGCTAATAAGTTGGCATTTGAAGGACGTGGCCTCTTCCAGTCATTGTTGATGTCATTCTCTGCCACGGCCCCATGTATTGTCATGTATTACAGGATTTTTCACATTTTTTTCTTTTTAAATGAATGCTTCAAATTATATTTTTATTGTTGTTAAACAGATCTAAGAAAGTAATTTTGTACCTCATGAAATGATGGCCCTTGTAAGGATGCCAAAGAAGGACTGGTATGACATTCTGGGTGCAAAGCCATCAGACTGCCTGACGGAACTGAAACGGAAATATCAAAAACTGGTATTATTAGTAAGTATATAATTTATATTATTTAAATAATTCAAAAATAAACTATGTAAACTTGTAAGCTAACAATTATAGTTTTCATATATACATTTTGTATAATAAGAGCCAAACATAGTGAATGTGCTTATAATTTTGTCAGTGGGTGTAGATAGTTTAAAATAAGAAATAGAACTCAAAAGCTGGTTATTTATCACTAAATCCCTCTGAATGGTATTGTCTTCTTCCCCAAGGATGCACTGCCCCATCCCTTCCCAAACATTCTGGAAATGTACCAGTTCTGGTTTTATTTGGTTTGGTTCATTATCTAGATAAGAATGGAATAAAATAATTCCTTTTTGATTTACATTGCAACATTTAATTATTTTAAAGAAGCTAACTCATTTTGTTGAAAGTGTGGCAGAATAAGATAAATCAGTTGGTGTTGGTGGTGTTACAGTTTGCTGCCATGGAAGTAATTATAATTGATCAAATGTTGGATTGTTGCATGTCAAATATGAGGGCCAGATTTATTGGAAAAAGGGAAATTGTTCTTTATTTACTTTGTTAATCTTCAGTAATGACATGGGAAGAGAAGTAGGTGGACATGTATTGTGATTTTGATATAAAAATATTGAAAAAAATCATGGTGAATATTTCACAGAATTCTTATTGTAGTAAGTTGAAGTTTTTGCTGACTTGAGACTTACAGGTATAGACAGATGTAACAATTATATCAGTATTACATGATAGCAGTATAAACTTTTCTGATGTCATAGCTACATGCTTCTGTAGTGAAACAAGTGTTTCAATTCAGGGTTAAGGTTACAGCAAGCAGTTTAGCTACCTTGTATCACAGGTTTTCATTGCAACTGCTAATGTGTTCCTGATCAGCAACTCCCACTACCTTTTTAAAGCAATTAAAAGGTATGTTTGTCCAAGATGTGTGTGTCTAGTTTACATTACTAAGGTAGAGACCCTTCATTTACAGATTACTTCTTAGGTTAACCAAAATCTCTTGTCTCCAGTTGTATTCTGAATGATAAAAACGAAAAAATAGGATGTTAAGTAAAAATAGTCTTAAAAATGAAATTATGAACATATTAAAATATTTTTTTAAAGGGACAAGTACACTTCCACCAAATAACTTGTTTGACTAATACCCTTCTAAAAGACAAATGTGTCTGATGTTCCTGATGTTCTTGTGACGTTAAAAATGTGCCTATATGCCAACCCAAACAAAAACTGTTTCTTTTAAAACTGGTGCAGTCCATTTGTAAATCTCCATTCATGATTACAAAAGAAGCTGTTAAAAGCAGTTAGTTCAAATCATAACATTTTGTAGCGCGATACATTCACTGATTTCAGTCTCACTGCAGATTGCAAGGTGAAAAACTCACAATACTCGGTCCTCTTTATTGCAAATGTGTGAAAACACAGCACCTGGAGAGGTTTCTGAGTATAAAAATCAGAAATATATGGCTGTAAGGGATCTCAAAAGATTATTTTAGTGTGTGGTGCCCAAAACTGGAGACAGGACTCCAGCTTCACCATGTAGGGTACAGTGGAATTATATTACCTGTCATTCCCTATATATGAGGCTTCTTTCTAGTTATACATCACAGAATGAGAGTTGTTCTTTTTTTTACAATAACATCCCAATACACAGTTTGTTACATAATAACCCTCAGATTCTCTTTCACAATACTGCTGACTAAATGCAGGAGTAGTTTATTTACTGCTTTCACTAAAATAATACAGTAAAATGTACAATATAATTATATATACTATAATAAAATTATATAATGTATGTTTATTCATAAAAGTATAAAAATCCTGGCAACTTAAACAAAATTAAAATAAACAATATATGATGACACAAAAAGTAAAATAAGGATACCATATTTAAGAATAGAAACAGGGAAATTTTAATTGAGTTTGGCCCTTATTTTTTGTGCAAATAATGGTGCACCCAGGGAGCACAGGACAGGCTGTGAGTTATTAGAAAGGAGCTAAATTGTTTTTTTTCTTCATTAGCCCAGTATTTAACATTTTCAATTACTAGAGAAATCAGTTTTCCTCTTATTTCTTCAAAGAATGAGCAAGATCACAAATAGTGATTTAAATGGTCTGCCTCATTGTTCCTGCAAGAACATGCCCTGTTTGTGTATGGCAGAGGTTGTCATCTGGAGGTATGCATACCCCTAGGGGTGCTTGAAGAGGTCATAGGGGGTATGCATGGGTGGGTGGGGATGCAGCACACCCAGGGGCATGGCGGCAGTGTGTCCCCCAGTGCATTCCCACATGTCACTGCTTACCTGGGGGAGGGGCATGCCGGGCACTGCCAGCCCCATGCAACACACTGCAGTGCCTTCCCCCCCCCCCCATTTGCTCTCCTGTTTGGCTGCTGGGCCACCACCCTCAGCCAATAGCTGATGGCAAGGAGGTGCTGTGGCCTCCCCCTGCCTGCAGAGTTGCAAGGGCAGCAAGGCGCAAAGGGTCTGAATGGCGGGGTGGAGTGTGTTTCTGTGCCTGCTCCCAGGAGCAGGGCGAGGGGAGGTGAGGACAGTGGCACCTCTCTGCGGGCCACATAGGCGCTGCCCAGCCAGCTGGATGCTGGGGGAAGTAAGGGGGCTTGCACACACCAGCTGCCGGCTACCACTGTGTGCTGCTTTCCCGTGGCCAGTCACACGTGCGGCTCAGTGGACTGCTCACAGGTGGCGTGATTGGCCAGGCACCAGGTCCATTAGCAGCCCATGGAACTGCATGTGTGACTGGCCATGGGAAAGTGGGGCATGGTGGTAGCAGTGGTGTGGAGTAGTGGGCAGTGGCCACCATGCACGAGACCTCCCCCGCCCCCCTGCTCTGCATCTAGGTGCTGCCATCAGAAGGGGTACACTTGTTAAAAAAGGTTGAAAATCCCTGATGTATGGGGTCTGTCACTGTTTGCCTACATATATGTCTATATGCTGGCATCTTTCATTCTTCAGTTATGCCTAGTTTTAAATATAGGGGGAATATTGGATCAGTGATTGTCAGCACTTTTCTTAGGCCATTTGTCTGGAGAATATAAAATGTTATTTAACCATCCAAACAAAGGTTTCTTTGGAAGAGAAAAGGCCTCTAAAATGCACTTCTTGGGGTATAGATAGAGGTAAAGGTACTCATTTTTACTTAATAATTAGGGTTCATAACTGAGCTGAAGTGTTCACATTAAGCAGCCATGTTTCAGGCTACATGAGCCCTGCTGGTGTAGAGTCTGGTAGAAATAAAAGCCACCTTAGAAAGTAATTCGTATTTTTTTTCTATTTTTCAATGAAGCATAAGTCATCACTCTATAGTTTCTCGCCATATAATAAAACAGATCCTACCTTAGACCTGTAGACATTTAGACTAAGTACAGTCAGTCAAAAAGCCTGAGGCGGAATCAATTCAATTTAGGCAGCTTCCTCTATGATGCGTAGGTTGAACCGATAACCAACTGAGTTGGTGTTCAGTTTTCGATTGGGAAAGGCAGGGGGAGGCCTGCACTGACCCAGACCAGTATGCTAGAGCATGTCTCCCAGCCTGCTGGCCATTGCCAGCCCAGTCAAGTGTCCCCAGTCCTCTGCTGTCCCCCCCCACAGGGGGTTAAGGAGCTCCCTGTCCAGGTGCTGGCCAGCCTTGAAGGAGCCTCCCCCTCAGGAGGTTTTCTCCAGCTTGAGGTCCCCAGCCCAGGCAGCCCTGGAGAGCTGAAGGGAATTCCCCGTCCCCCCCTTTCCCAGCTGCTGATAGCTTCAGTCACTGCCCCAGGAGGGAGGGAGAAGGAGTCCTCCAGCTGGGTGCCTGCTCATGAAACCCAGCATGGGGGCACTGGAGAACCCTTGCCTTGGGGGGCTTTCCCCCATCCCAACCCAGGGCAGCCCCAGGGAGCTGCTGGGAATCCTTTCCCTCCCAAACTGCAGAGCTGCTTGTCTCAGCTGCTTTGAGTCTCACGGTTAGCCCAGGGCAGCCTCAGGGAGCAGACGGAAATTCTTCAGCTAGTTTTGCCTCAGACTCACAGCAGCTGAGGCAAAACTGGCTATGGAGGAGCAGGAGAATTTCCCTCCACTCCCTGGGCTATTCATCAAAAATTCAGGAGCTAAAGCAAGCAGCTCTGGGGTTCAGGAGGGGAAGTATTCTCATCAGCTCTCTAGGGCTGCCCCGGGCTGGGGTGAGGGAGAGCGCCCCCAAGGCAGGGGCTCCCCAGTGTCCCCATGCCAGCCTGCATGGGCAGCTGCCTGGCTCTTTCTCCCTCCCTCCTGTGGCAGTGGCTGAAGTAGTCAGCAGCTGGGTTGGGGGAATGCTGCTAAGGGTCAAAAAGCCCCCACCACAAGGGATTTTCCTCCCCACAGGTGCTGTGTATAACCTGGCTAGGAGAGTCTGGGGGTCTTTTCCCCTGCCCCCCCCATCCCTATGGGCTGATGGACCCAGGTAAGAAGTAGATTAAGGAGCAGGGGGGTGAGGCAGTCCCTACTCCACTGGAGGAGACAGCATAGCCCAGGGCTGCAAAGCACCCTGGGATGCTGAGGTACTGTGAGTTAACTTGAACCAAGAAGGGATCTGGGACAGAAATTCCACAAACTGGTTTGACCTAAATTAGAGGTGCACTGATGTATCGGTTGTATATCAGATCGGCACTGATAAAAGGAAAATGAACATTATTGGCTATTGGCTTTTTTTGCTTGATGATATTCTCCAGTAATTTAATTATGCTGTGGCCTCCGGATGCCTGGGTTCCCTCCTGCGAGCCATGGTGACCCCGGATTCACACCATTGCCTCACCGGTGGGCTGGGCTAGAGCAGAGCAGCTGGTACAGTGTCCCAGGTACTGGTGCGGTGCAGCACAGAACGGACTGTGGGCAGGGACTGGGATGGGTGCTGTAAAGGTACCAAGGGCTGGAGATGTGACTGGGGCTGTGAGGGGCAGGCGGAGTTGAGCTGCCTGGCCCAGCATGACTCAGCCCACGGCGCTTGAAGGTGTGTGCCCCAGAGGTTGAGGGCAGAGA